GGTCACCTACAAACAGTAATATAGTTTTGTATTAAATATGTATGTATCTGTATATCTGTTACACTGTTCAGTAATATTATTTCTTTAAATTGATACAAAAATATGCTTATGTAGTTAAATAAACATGTACCTATTTTGTTTTTAACCTACCTATGTAAATAAATATCAAAACTATTTTTTTACGATCATTGCCCTATTCTGTTTAGCAAAATATGTTCTAATAAATAAATTTAGGGATGGGCCGATACCTCTTTTTACCGATATCCGATACTCCGATATATGCAACCGATAAAAAACCTATACCCAATATATTTGAAAACCAACATTTTCAACATAAACAATGAACCGATATTAAAAGATCACCGACACTATCAACCGAAATACTATTATCATTTTCCATTTAACTATTACAATTTATAATCAGTGCTATTATGCTGATAGATTTGGTTTTTTTTTTTGGTATCGGTTTAAAAAAAAAACCGATATCGATTAACCCGATACCACCAATATCGGCCGATCTCGAGTATCGGTTTTAGTATCGACTATCGGCCCATCAATAATGTCTTATGTCTTAAGCCGCCCATACACGATCAATAATATTGATCAATTATGATATTGACAATAATATTGATCGTGTATGGGCTATATTGAAGGATTGATCAATATATTGAACAAATTAAAAATTTTTGATTTTTATTGACGTACTGTCAATAAATAATAATGAAAATTTAATTTAAAATGTATAAATTGTTGTTGAACGAATTGACAAATATGGTGAATAGATAATGATATATTGATCAATAATATTGATACGTTGGTGGTCATTGACAATGTTCGTCAATATTTTGTCAATAATATTGATCAATATGATTGATCGTGTATGGGCCGCTTTATTATGTCCTTATCAATACTTTTCAACAGCTTTTTTCAAAACAGGGACAGGGATTATTGAAACGATTATGAACCGTTGAAGTTCTCAACCATGTTTTGATACGTCTTGAGCCTATTTCCTAATCAATAATCATAAAAAAGAAACTACTACACAAATCACGAAAATCATTAAGGGGCTAATATAGTATTTAGAATACTTACCAGCCCCGCCTACTCCCCACATTTCCATAAATACATACAACTGATTCACTAGAGTAATATTATTACCTAATATTAAAAATAAATAAATAAAATTGAATTACTTATGAACTTTTAATATAAATACCAGTGTAATTTGGTCATGGTTGTGGGGGGGGGATGAAATGTATGTACATTTCACCAATTACCCCCTCCCCCCTCAACTTTTTTATTTTTTTAATCATATAAAGTATAAACAATAAGCACCTCTCACAACCATTGAGATCTGTATGTAATAATCTATCAGTTATTTTAAGCGGGTATAATATTGTTTGATAATATTAATGGATGATTATATAATATTATGGAGATTCGGGTGAATTTTGTATTATCTATAAAATATACATCAATAAAATTAGTACATAAATGTGTCTGACGATTTAAAACGGTCATGGGGGGTTATTTGAAGTACAGAAGTCCTAGTCTAAAGGGTCCTAACCTAACAAAACTATTAATTTAAAATAACCTATAAGCGGCTTATATCTAAATAAATAAGGAATATTTTTTTAGAGGGGTCTGAATCGTAGTCGCCCCCCCCCCCCCATAGTTATGCCACTATATATGGGCCCTATATATTTGGTCACACACCCACCAATAGTTGCGGCACTGTTTGTAGGTATATTATAAGGTTGCCATTGGTTACAAACATAGGCGAAAATAGCAACGCAACTGCGCCGTTATATTATACCAGTGGCATAATTAGGAATTAAAGTCAGTTGGGATTGTATTGGTTGCCAAAGGCATATTATTTTATAGGTTGGTTAAGTATTTAACTACCTACCTATACAGCTATATCTACGTATAATAAAGCATATTATGTTTGAATTTCGAGTTAAAACGGCAAACAGAAAAAAAACAGTATAATATTTAGTTTAATCACAGAATAAATTAAATTTATACTTTTTTATAATATGGTATGAATTACGATGTTTAATGTATATATAAGTAGCCAATAGCTAAACAATTATCTTTCACCTCTAGAGAGGACCCACCCACAAACATTTTATTGTTCATGTTCCCGAATGATACCTACATAATAAAATTGCCAAATGATCCGTATATAGTGATTAATTTAGGGCTGGGATTTTAATGCCCTAAAAAATCCCGAAAAATGTCCTAAAAAATGCTTTTATGACCTAAAACCTCTATATAATGCCCTAAAAAACCCCGAAAAATACCCTAAAAAAATGCTTTTATGATCTAAACATTTTTTTTTAATAATTTTAGTATAAATTACAATAAAAAGTTTAAAATAATGCATTACAAAAATCTATTACAAGTGTAAGCTGTCAATACATAGTTTTAGTATACAAAACTCGTACTGAACGTCGAACGATATCATCGGACCGATTTAAGATTACCGATTTAAGATTATTTAACAGAAAATTCGGGTAGAGGTTACTCAAACCTTGTCCGATAATATAATACGAATTACGAATACCTACTTATAATCTGTTATATTTATTTAAAAACTATGTTGGTGTAAAAATCTTAAAATAAAATTTTAAATTCATACTTGGTTTCCAAAAACTCAAAAATGCTCCAAAAACTCTAAAATGCCCTAAAAAATTAAGAAAATGACCTAAAAACTAAAAAATGCAAAATAAACTTTCTTATTCTCATTCAAATGTACATAAAACAAATTTGTGACAAGACGAGCATTGCACAGTAAGCTTAGGAAAACAATGCAAAGTGCATTGAAATCCCAGCCCTAGTGGTTATATTTAATAAAGGGAATGACAATAATATTATTGTACCTATATGTACAAAACCACAAACTACAAGGTATTGTATTTTGGATCCAAATTAATATTTGAACATGCATGATTTTATGCTTACCTCTCGTTACAATAAATAAAACATTGAGAGAAAAAACATTTTGTTTTATAAAATTATGATAATGGGTTTACTTGTAAATTCCTTTCGGATTATAATTCCAAAAGTATTAGGTCTGTAAAAAATACTGAAAGTGCTATCATTAATTTTGATTATAGGTCAATCAGATTCAGATCTAATATTAGACTAAAGCCTAGATAAATACTGTTAGGATTTTCGGAATTCCGTGACGAAAACAATTGGCGCTCGTAATTTTCTTAATTATGATGTTGCAAAAGTTCTATGATCCTAGTTCCTGGACTTTTTACAATTTATTTTTAATAACGAAAATTTCAACAAACTGCCGAACTTTAATACATTTCAAACATTTTCAAGTTATGGATGCAAGTGGTAAATTGTATTCACTGGTCAACCATAACAAAATTACACTACATTTATTTTATTATATAAAATGTATAAAAAATTAAACTTCTTAGTTATTTAAAGTCAAAGTTTCTACCTCCGATAGGAGGATTCTTCATTCTGGTAAACATATGTTTTTTTCTTCACTATATATCAAGTAATTTGCTTATTGTTCTGATATATTATGAGAGACATATTGAGTAATAGCAACTTATAAATTTAAGAAGAAAAAATATTATTCATGTTGGAAAATATTATTTCATACTCGCTGAACTGGAAGGTTCTCAGCTGGAACGACCAAAAGTTGAGGTGTGTTTAAGTTTTTAATTGCTTAACATAATAAATGTATAAATAGAACTATTAATCAATTATATTTTCTATTTTTATTTTTTTTTATATATTTTTGGAATTACTTAAATAATTAAATACATTTTATTGCATTCACTCGAGAATACCTAGTAAATTATATATTATTATTAGGTATTATTAATGTGTCTGTTCTCATTTAATTTATTAATATACTAAAATAACGCGTATAACTCATAAATAACATAAAACTGCAGAGAAATGATATTATTGTATCTCTAGAAAGATGCTGCAGTCACAGATGAATGATCACTAATTGAATCAGCCAACCAAACAATTGTATACCTATGCATATAATTAATACGTTGTCAGAATAATGATAATCGACTTACTGTCGTCTGTCGGCGATCGTAATTTGTAGTGTAAAAATATTATAAAATGTTTAATTTTATACTCTGGTATAATTATAATAATTACCTTGTATTACGTTTTGTTAGATTTATCGTTGTCTCGATTAATATAATATAATATTTAGGTAGTAATGCGTCACAATAATATAATGATTGATGATGTAATCGAAAAGTACGAAATAATAATTTATTTGTAAATCAATTTAGATATTGTTACTTTGCCCTATTTAAGATAATATTAATTTTTATTGAATAATAATTAATAAATAACACTAAATGTTGAAATGATACGAGGAATATACTTATATGCAATATTACTTGTCGAAATAATAAACAATTATTTTTGCCAAGTACAGAATATTATTATATTTGTATCTAGTATTATTTAGTGTAAATAATAATTTCTAGTTCAAATGAAAAGGAATAGTTGGATCTCTCATTTTAATGTTTATAGGTAGAATATATTATGTAGGTATATGTTCAAAAAAATGTTTGTTTCAAATTTATACTTTTATATTTTATTAATAGGGATGTCACACAATATAATAATAATTGCCCTAGCCTATTAAATTGAAAATCCAAGTTCAGTGTTTAATTATATTCACGTTTTCATTCTAGTAAACTAAAATACATTATTATAGTAAAATCCTACTACCATTGGTGATTGCCGATTGGTTATAAAATAAACTAATTATAAATATTTGTATTTATAATCAATGGCACTACCTATATAGTGTATATTGATGAAATGTTTTATTTGTTTCATTGCTATATGAATCAATTACAATATTTATAAATTATATTTTAAGTTTAACATTATGTACAACAAAAAAATATTCAATTTATTATATCAAATTCTTCAATAAATGTTTTTTTTTTATTTAGGTATTGAAGGACCTCATTAAAGTGATCAAAGTCATGGATTATATTGCTGCTATTGACGTAGGCACAACTAATTTGAAATGCCAAATTTTTTCACCTGATTTTCGTGTTGTGGGTTCTTGTATTCAAAAAGTATGTAATTGTATATTATGTTTTATGTTAATGATACAGAATTTTGAATTTGTATTATGCTGCTTGTAAGCTTTTAGATATTATAAAATATTTTATTTTTATACCTAGCTATAGGCTATAAGTAAAAATTAAAAATGTATAAATATGTAAAGGGTTTTTTTCTGTCATGTGCAATGTGCCCAACTAGTAGTAGTAATATGGATATTGACTTTTTAATTTTTACAGGTTAATATATTAAAACCTTTTCAAGGCTGGGAAGAAATTAATCCAATTGAAATACAAAATGGTGTAAAACAAGTCTTACAAAATGCATTAAAAGGTTATAACTTATTACTAATAAATAATATTGTAATTTTTAGTAACACTAAGTTGCTATTTAATATTTTACTTAGGTATATTTTTACACATGTCCCATCAGATTGTACATAATACTAAATTTATGATTTATTACCAATAAAATATTTATGTAACTTCTATTATAATCAGAACAATTGACAATATACAAAAAAAAAAGATTTCAAACTAATGATTCCAAACTTTAAAATCTTATTGAAGTAATTTAATTTGAGTATATTTTTTTCCTGCACTTTTCTACTTGTTTATTATCATTAATTGTACCGATTATAATAGAAGTTACAAAAATATATTATTGATAATAAACCATAAATTTAGTATCTGGTACATGTGTATAAAACATTAAATAAGTATGTTTAGTTTAACTTATGTATCTTTTAATAGATGCTGATCTCAAGTCCAATAATATAAAAAGCATAGGTTTGTCTACACAACGGAACACATTCATAACTTGGAATAAAAAAACTGGTGAACATTATCATAACTTTATTACGTGGGGAGATTTACGTTCAAATATAATAGTTAAAGAGTTAAACAAATCAATAACCTTCAAAGTAAGTATTATACTATCAATATTAAATACTAAATAAATATATACAAATGAGTATATATCTAAGTTTAAAAATAAAATGAAAATTATCCTATTATTATTAACTCAATTAAATATATTTATATTTTGAAAATTTTTAGATAGTGAAATATATTTCAAAAATATTATATTTAATATTTGCAACAAAACAACTGAAAGTTGTTAAATCATTTACATTTTCAAACATACAAGTATTATAATTTTATATGTTATTATATGTTTTTTTAATGTATATTTATAATATACATTGAATAATCTATGGTTATTGGTTACAGATTTTGCCTAAACTTTTATGGTTATTACAAAATAATCGAAAATTCAGACAAGACATGAAAAATAACGAAGTGCAATTTGGCACATTAGACACTTGGTTATTATATCAGGCCAGCAATGGTAAACTACACGTGACTGACGTATCGTGTGCTAGTGCAACTGGATTGTTCAACTTGTTCACCATGTCTTGGATGCCTAATCTTATGTTTCAATATTTCGGGATCACAAATACTATACTTCCAAGTATTTGTGATTCAAACGTATTAAAGTACCTAATAGACAACAATATAACTTGCAAAATCTCCAACATTACCATTGCATGCTCAGTGAGTTAACTTCTCTGTATAAATATTTAACCGTCAAATTATAAATTATTATTTCTTATTATTAATAAAACCCATAATATTATAATAATATAGCTTGCTGACCAATCAGCGTCACTGTACGGAACAGGTTCTTTCTCAAAGTACACAGCAAAAGTTACAATGGGAACAGGAATGTTTCTAGATATAAATTGTGGTTCATTACCGGAAGTATGTTTAGGTCAGATAGAATATTATATATTTTTTATTATCTTTATTATTATTATTATTATTAACATTAGTATATATTTGTATTAATAAGTTGTATGTCAACTTAAAAACAAATTATCTGTCAATGTGTAATAATCAATTAGCACTTATTTTGAATTATCTATTTTAGAAATATTTAATATGTAACTAACGTTAAAACAAATTTTTAATAATAGGATATTTTCCATTGGTGGGTTGGACATTTAATGAAGATATTTGTTTTTCATTGGAGGCAGTTGATTACAACTGTGGATCATTAATTCAACTTGCAAAGTCCATTGGTAAAAAGTGTATTTGGGGAAACTTAAATATAATATGTTAAAAAATAACTCTATTTTTCATCTTTGATCTAGGTGGATTCAATAATCCAAAAGAATTAAATATGTTGAAGCAAGGAAATGAATTTTCAACCAACAGTTTATTATTTGTATTACCTGAATGTGAGGTGGTTACTTGTTTCTGTGATTTAGTACAAAATTATAGTAATTATATAACAAAAATTATTTTTCAGCCATCCAAATCAATAAGAAAAGATTTCAGTTTTATAGGTGTTACAACGTGTACTACAAAATCTGATATGGCAGTATCTATTTTGGAGTCTTTTGCATTTAGAATTAAAAAAATACTAGATAATTATCACAATGAAATGCCACAAATGGTATTAAATACTTTATGGTAATGTTTGTTTAATTAATAGCAAAATATTTAATTATGTTATTACTTAAAGGTTTTATTTTATAAATCAGTGTTGGGTACTAACGGAAAGCAAATTACAAATTACTGTAACAAAATTACTTTTGCAGTAACGCCATAGTAATTTCACTATATTTTATTTAAATTAATGCAATTGTAATAAAATTACTTTTTAAATGTCATTTCTATGGAGTAACGTGTTATTTCCAAGTTATTAAAATAAGTTATGAATGACAAAAACTAGGGGCTAGGATATTCAATAAAAATTAAAAATCAATAAAATTTATTTACGATTCCAAAAGTTTTTATAATAAATAATAATCAAAAATATTTTTAAACGTCTCAAGAATTAATACTTATACATTTTGTTCATGTATAACAAAGTTATTACAATGTACCTACTACCTACTTATTATCTATTATGGACTGATTTTGTAATTTTTTTTTTTAAGTAACGTTATTTATAACGCCCTACTTTTTGAAAAAAAAGTAAAGTAACGTGATAAAAATAATGTCTGGTAACACAAATGTAATTTAAACAAAAATATTTAATGTAACAAGTAACGTAATTGTATTACTTTTCAAAAGTAATTTACCCAACTCAGCATATAATATACAAAATATGTACTTCCATAATACCTTTTAGTTGGTAACTCATTTAAAATTGTACCTATTAATGTTTAGGGTTGATGGTGGTGTATCTCGGAATGATTACATCTGTCAAACAATTGCCAATGTCACATCAACTACAGTTGTAAGAATGAAAAACAGTAACAGAACCGAAGTATCTTGTTTGGGTGCAGCTTTTATGGCTGGACTGTCTTCAGGTATGCGCTTAAATGGATTTATTTTTATTATGTTATTAATAATAAAAAATTGTATATTTATATCCATATGTAAATCTATTCTTTTTTTTTTATGTTAGGTGTATGGACAAATAAAAGAGAGTTGATGAATTTCAGAAACAGAACTGATCAAAAATTTGTTCCAAATAATAATGATTATTTTGCAAATGAATATAAATATATAAGATGGTTGTATAACCAAAAGTGTTTGTATTAAAAATTCTAACTTTTTTATTTTTTGTATTTTAACAATACATGATGTATAATTACTAAAATAAAACAATTTAGTATACAAAAACATGATGACAAAAGCTTACATAACTACCCTGCAAGAACTTTGATACCCAACTATAACCTGGATTTTGAGTCTTGAAATATAGTCTTATTTTCAAATAGTTTTTTGATTTCTTTTTGTGTATGTCCAATACTTTCAAATATTCCCCATCGAACTCCCCCCCCCCGAATTTTTTTTGTGTACGCGCCTGATATGTCTAACTATCTGTGCATATTATCCATGTGAACCATAACCATTCAATCGAGGATAGGTATATTAAACAATCATTATTGGCAATCATTACAACATCGGAGCCTAATCCCACTCTTTCCATTACACCTTAATACCTTATACATTTAATAATGAATTGTTATGTTTTAATATGAATTGTTTGATGGCATTATTGAGATGTGTACATAGGCTCAATTTCAACTTTTGGCTTGATGGGGCTGAATATATTAAAGGCAAGCAGACCATTGCAATATAGCATATTAAAATTGTATGTCCTAGGTTTTTATGGGAGGCTTAGCATACCCAAGCCCCCCTCCAATTTGCGCCTATGAATGTGTAGATAAGATTAATTAGCTGTTCTTACCTGGTCTATAAGGTTCAAGTACAATGTCAGCATTAATGATTAATTTCTGTGTAATTTCAACACCTTCAGGGGGTTTTAAATTGATATTTGATACTTATGGCAGTAGCTAGGAGGGCTTGGTAGGCTTAGACCCCTCAGTGTGAATATTAGCCCCCCCCCCCCAGAATTATTTGTATTTCATTTAGTTTATATACTCTATTCACAATGAGATCATTACTCGGCAGTCGGCGGCGACCAGTTTTCGTCGGGCGGCGGTGAGACGCGGTCCCCACTACGGCAACGTCCCCCCCCCCGAATATATTTGATCACCCTACGCCTATGGCTTATGGGCTTTTTGTCTTCATTTAAAAAGCTTGTAAATTCCATAATAACACTTCTCTAAAAAAACAAACAAAATAAGTCTTCCAAATATTAAATTTACGCATCTACCTAATTAAATATCTTTATATCTTTTTTTTGGTATAGTAAAATTACAATACAATAATATTGCTTTAGGAAATGTACTCGCTTTTTATATTACAGTCACATTTGCTCCAAAATCAGATAATACAGTTCCAACAAAAGTTACTGGTGCCAGACCGGAAAATTCTAATATGTTTAATCCTTTTAACGGCATATTGGTTTAAAAGTATAATAATCATAATGAACTATTACTATTGAATGATTTTCTTTGATCATTCTAGAGATATAACAAAAAAATAGTAGGCTCTCGCCTCTCATTCGTACTTAACAATTATATGTAATTTTCTGCTTTTCTGGCGGTCTGCATATATATAATATAAACCATGAACTACTACATAGGACTGGACAGTGTTGGGGAAGTTACTTATTTTTGGTAATTAAATTACATTACTAATTACTTATTAAAATTGTAACTAAATTATTTTTAAGTTACTTTTTTTTAATATGGTTAAGTTACATTACTTTTGAGTTTAAAAAGTAACTGAATTACAATAGAAGTTACTTTTTTTCAAAAATATCACTGGAACTTAATAATCATGTTGTCAATATAACAATACATAAACTCAATAGGTAATACCAATCAAAAATGTGAAATTATTAGCAGATACTCATTTTGCTACACTATTATTATTATTATTATTTTTATTGAACTTAAGCCCGGAAACTATGGCCATAAGCTGTTGTAGGGGATTATAAACTGTGGTTGGTAAATTTGGTATGGTAAGGTGTTGTTACGGTATGTATGTAAACACGTGTAAGTGTGGCAAGGTTTTTACTACTACGAATCCGGGTGGTCACCCATCCGGGAACTAGTAGCAGCGGGCGCAACTTACTCTCAGTCGTATTGCGCGACTTGCAGCTAGCAGCCAAGCCACACATTTATTTATTAATTATTTTTTTTTTATATTAACTAACCCACAGCAATTGGGTGGTTTTTAACTGAGATGGAGGTTACGGTAGGTTTTTGTAAACACGTGTGTTTTAGCTTGAAAGAATTTCAAATTGGGCACCTGTAGTCTGCCCGTTACCGAGATTCCAACCATCTACATTCTACGGTGCGCGTTGCCACCAACGCCTTAGTCCGCTCGGCCACTCCGTCTCCCTCACTTTTATTATTATTACTATTTATTGATAGTTCCAACAATGCTGTATACGCAGACGCTGACGCCGTGAGCCGTCCTCGACGATAAAACACAGAGTACAGAGTAAAGATAAGAATTCCATTCTAAAAGTAACACTTTATAGTCGAACTGTCAATAGCTATAACAAAAATAGTACCTACAGTTCATACAATTTTACCTATAAATTAAAATACTAAAAAGTTATATTATGATATATTTTAATATTTACCTACACACAATATTATCAATAGGTACGTTCTAAAAAATGTATAAATCTAAAAAAAAGTAACGAGTAATTTAGTAAAAATTACTACAAAAAAGTAACTTAAATTACATATAAATTACTTACAATAAAATGTAATTAAATTACCATCAAATTACTTAAAAAGTAATTTCGTTACAGTAACTTGTAACTTAAGTTAAGTTACTCCCCAACACTGGGACTGGATACTGTATAAAATAAGGTGGAGATAAGTGCTACAGAGTTCATTTCATCATTTGTTTAATTTATTTTATTTGATTTAAATACGAATAAAAAATCGTGGAAATCATAATATTATTGTTGTTTTATGTCCAGGCTACTGGAATATCATGTACCTATTTTATTTTTATAATTTGTAGTATATTATATAATATCAATTATCATAAAAGTATTATAAGTCAATATGTATTAAATAATAAATAAATTTATACGTCTTAAAAATCGCTCAAATTCATTAAACATATAAACGTCGTTCACGTTCTATTTAAAAAAAAACGAGTGACGTTCACTAAATAGTAAATATGAACGTGAACGCTTGAACGAGCGTTCATGAACGACGTTATTTTCAAACATTGGTAAAAGCTAAAGCCTTTCGACATTTTTATGTATTTAATATGTGGATTATGGTATAGCACCACGTTATAAAACAAATTTACTCCCGTTTGCCCAAGACTAAGCCATAATCAAAAACCGAATACTTTTAAATTAAAGTACCTACGTATATGAATCGATTTCGAAGTTAACAACTAGCAAAAACATGTATATTGTAATTTTATTGAACTTAGGTTGTGATGTTTGTTTTTTTTTTTATTATTTTAGAAAATTTACAATCTGTATTACATGACACAATAAGTAAAATAGATGGCTGACATAACACTATAAACATAGATACATAAAAAATAACACATGAAACACAAGATGAGGGAAATCATCCAGCGATTGTAGGTAGTAGCTAGGTACCCTAAAGTAATTTATTTTTTTTATTCATTAATTAAATAGGTCACTCTACCAATTTCTTTTGAGTCAGCACGGGGGGATGCTAGGTGAGTGACTAAAGGATTGGGATGGTGACGATGGTGTTGCAGTTTAGAGTGAAATCTGTTATAGCACATTAGTACAGTTTAGGCAGTTTAGCTAGTTGGTTAACCGTTGGAATTCTTAAATCTTTGTGCAGGGTTTCATTTGTTACGTACCAATGGGAGTTATTAGCTATTAGCCGGAGAGTGATGGACTGGGAAGCTTCAAGCTTGGATAATGCGGATTTGAGAAGGTTTGGCACACCCCCAGATTTGCATACCGATATTTGGTTAAAAATAAGATATTGAAAAAATTTCGGAGGGAGGGGGGGTCTAGGAACTGAACTCCTCCACCCCTCAGATACGGCCTATATCGCTCTCCTATACAGTATATTACAACTTACAAATGGGTCACTGTATAATGGATGGTGTTAAATTAGAATTCAATAATAATATAATATAATATCATTGTATTATTGTAAACGAAAAACGATTCTGAACGGAGATAGTTAGTCAGTTATTATTTAATCACCTCGACCGGAATAACACAAATCACAATAACTACCTATATCACAACAAAACACTTCGATTGATTGGAAATAGCAGTGTGACTATATCTATGCTTATATAGTAGTGGCCAGTGGGTTTTCTTGGTGACTAATTATGATAAGTTAAATCTAAACAATCGGTTAACCTAACCTAACATATTATATTGGCATCAATTAGAAAATTTGTTTTGTATTAGCATTTTACTCATTTATAATTTATATAGGTAAAAACAGTTACAACTACAATTGTTTCTCGTAATTTTCGGCTGGTACCGAATTGGTTCCCGAGCCCCAACCCCACGTGCCGAATTGGTTCTCGTTTGAAAAAGGTATTTTATTGAGGTAAGCTGAATTGGTTCCCGTTTAAAAAAGGTATTTTATTAAGTGGAGCCGAATTGATTCTCGTTTTATTACGCACATTTTCGTTCTCAATTTTACAGGCTTAGGACTGTCCACATTAAAGTATAGGCATTAGGCTTGGTTAAAAATGTGAGTTAATACGTGTTAAAAAATAAAATAAAAAAATAAAATGTATAAACATTGATTTGAATGTCTACTTGTCATCACTTAGGTTAGGTTAGGTGTACAAAATACAAATAATAAAATATAATATAATAAATACAATTCAAAATCGTTGGTTTGCAAATTTGAAGCTAACTTTCTTTAACTAATCAATTCGCGTAAGCTTCTCATTATGTTCTCAGTCATACAATTTTCCAAGTGTTTGTTATTTCTTTCCTGTTTGCTAGTAAGTTCCTTGAATTATTACTTCTAAATTTAATATAATTTAATGTCTGAATAGTGAACAGTGGCGGCTCGTGCCTAGGTGTGCAGGTGTGCGCACACCACATAGATTAATTAGTTATAATAGTGAAAATGTATAATAAAAATGTATACCTAATAATAAATAAATTTTAATACAATATATTCTGTTAAACTGTATTTATTATGTAAAAAAATTAAATTTTAAAAACAAACAAACGACTATATTTATTATTATACTCCTAAAATGTAATCGAGTTATGCAACAAATACTCATCAACTGGTGTGCAGCTCAATCGGAACACCGTCTGTCCGTGTAAAATACGTTTGGTTGTCGAGTGGGGGAATCGGCAATTATATGTGACTTTGGTGTGCAGCTACAGCTGCACACTCGTCAGGCGGTCGCACGCGATAAACAAAATATAAAATATACTAATTATTATTATTATTATTATTATTAATGCTAATAAATATTTAACTTATTACATTTATACTTAAAACAGATTATTTTTATTTAAAACAAACATTTGCAATAATTGCACACCACCTACTTTGAACACCACGAGCCGCCACTGATAGTGAATACAGGGCCGCATTTAGGGGGGGGGGGGCACTGGGTACAACTGCCCCGGGTGCCAGTATTTTAGGGGCGCCAAAATTTTGTGGACAGAAATGTCTTTACTTATGATTTTTTAAAATTGTATACTTTAAATTATTTTTATGACAGTATTATATAATATAATATTATAATCTAGTATAATAGTATTGTATATATTATTATAGTATAATAATTATGCTGTTTGAAATTTATTATTTAAACAATCAATGTATTTATAGCAATATAGCTACAGCGATCGATAATTATTAATATACCTAGTTCCCAAATTTGTTGTGATGATGTCAATAGACATCAGTTTTTTATAATAATACAGGCAATACCAATACGGCGTATTGATTTTATATTACATAGTTTTGTACTTATGATTAAAATAAAGGAAGTTCCAAAACAATGATCTTGAATATTATTCTATATTATAAACATCATTCATTTAAATAGGTAATATTATTTAATTATTTGCTATTAAATTTTGTGTTTATTATAATCATTATTTTTTGTAATTTCTACAAAATTAAGTAAGTAGGAATCAATTAAACTATAGGTAGGTATGCAGAGATTCAAAAATAATTAATGTTTAATAACTGGTAAGTTGACAAGTTGTTATGAAACAAATTTATGCAGGTCACTTTTTTGTCACTTTTAGAAATAAATTCAGTCACTTTTTTTAAATAGCTTAAACCACTACCAGCCCTGTATATAGTTACATTAATTTTATAAAATACTATATACAATAAAATATAAAATATTTATTTGCATAGTTTTATATAATTTTATTTTATTTATCCATGAAATACCTACTTAAATATGTTTAAAAAAAAAACAACTTAATGATCCTAAATTATTAGCAAGGTTTGAGTGACATAAATTCCAATATATCTTTGCGGAGGGATCAAGCAATTACTAAACAATATTTTTTTAAAAAAGCACTCTTAAACAAATATTTTTTTCTTCGCTCAAAATCTAAAGGGTAATGAGGATCTACCTCACATATTTTCCGTGGGAGGAGCAATTTTTTTTTCACCGGGGCTTGGGGGGCGCCAATTTTTTTTTGCACCGGGGCGCAAAATGTCTAAATGCGGCACTGAGTGAATACTGTTTAATGCCTCCATAAAATAATATATATTAGGATGGGCATGTAAATTCTTTATTCAACTTTGAATGGAACGATTCATAACAATTTGAAGTCCTATCGATAATTTTATCAAATCTAGCCCAAATTTTCGGTGGAAAGGTACTATATGTCATTATGTATGTTTCATGAACGTAATCAACAACTATTAGTTCCCTTTTCACTAAACCTAAACTCCATAATAACGAAAAATTAAAATTAAAAAAAGGTGGGTAAGTGGATATCGTTCTGCTGTACTGTAGGTTACAAGTGAGTCACTGTATAATGGATGGTATTAAATTTGAATGCAATGATATAATATCATTGTATAAGAAAAAAGATTCTGAGCGGACACGGTATGTCAGTCTAGGTATAAGACATATTATATACTTTTCTATGGTATTAAATCATATAATGGAATTTATGAATAAATTCCTTAAAAATATGCACAGTCTTATCATGAGCAAAATTCTTATTCCTTATACTATGGTAGATTGTATAGATAGGCCATAATATTTTGATTTTTCAGTTTCATATATCCCCGAATAATATTTTTAAATTACAACAAAAACAAAGATCGTTAATATTGATTTTAATATGTAATTTCGTCCAAATTTGAATTTAAAATGTCTGTAAAAAATAACTGTGTTCATATATTTTTTAGATTTTTTGGTTACAGTATGAACTATTTATGAGAACCTTTGTTTTAAATTTGCAATCTTTAGCTATAAAAACTGAACATTTTATAATTTATTAATTACAATGATTGATAATTTTCGAGATTTTGATAAATTTTGTCAAAATTCGATGTTTAAATGCTTATAAAAAAAAATTGTGCCTATGTATTTTTAATATCTTTCAATTGCTACTGTAACAATATATCAGGAACCTTGTATTAAATTTTTACACTTTTTGGCCCAACATTACTATTTAAGTCGGTTGGATGCCTTTGTACTTTATACTATGCCCTTGTTCGTTCTCTTCTTGAGTTTGGATCTGTGGTCTGACAACCGTATTTATTCAAAGACCAGCTACGACTTGAACGTGTCCAAAATAAATTTCTTAATTTTGAACTGTTTAGGGACATTTTCATTTTTCATTTTTTTTTAGTTTTTTTTTCTAAAAATATCAATAACATTTTATTTGTTGGTTAAAAAAGCTTGACAATTTAATAGAAGGCTCCTAGTATATTGTTTCAAAGGCAGATGAAAAATATTAAAATTCCTTAGTCACAGTTTTTTTTTTATAAGCATTTAAAGTTCAAAAATTGACAAAATATGGAAAAATCACGAAAATTAGCAAATTATTTTGAGTTAAGAATTCGTAAAAATTTTTCTTTTTAATACTAAGATTTTAAAATGTAATACAAGATTCCTTATAAGATTATCTACCTTTATCAAATAAAAAATGTCTATAAGAAAGTCAAATTAAATTTTTATGAGCGTTTGAAATTCAAATTTTTACAACATTGGATATTCACTCGATTTTTCATGTAGCGATTTCCTTATTTTGTTTTAATTTAAAAACGAACAACTGTTGATACATGAAAATTTCACTGAATGTTTAAATTAGCATTTTCTATACACCATAAAGTTTTTAAAATATTTTGACTCTTTTTGAACTGTTTACGGACATTTTCAGATTTCAATTTTTTTAGTTTTTTTTTCTATAAATATCAATTAGGTTTTATCTGTTGGGCCAAAAAGGGTAAAAATTTAATACAAGACTCCTGATATATTGTTACAATATCAGTTCAAAAACATTGAAAATACATGGGCACAATTTTTTTTTATAAGCATTTAAAGTTGAAATTTTGACAAAATGTATCAAAATCTCGAAAATTATTGTAATTAATAAATTATAAAATGTTCAGTTTTTATAGCTAAGGATTGCAAATTTAAAACAAAAGTTCTCATAAATAGGTCATACTGTAACCAAAAAATCTAAAAAATATATGAACACAGTTATTTTTTACAGACATTTTAAATTCAAATTTCGACGAAATTACATATTTAAAAACCTAGAATAACTATTTTAGTTATTTTGTTGTGATTGAATAATATTATTCGTGGGTACTTGAAACTTCTAAAGTGTACTATTATATATCTATGATAGTATCACGGTTTTTATTAATGTATAACGCGTTATAACTACCTAATGGATATTGTGATATGATTAATTTGGAATTTATTATAGGTACCTATGTCCTATTATAGTTCAATTTTTTGTTTAATATCATAGATATGTATATAATATGTCTTATACCTAGACTGACATACCGTCTCCACTCAGAATCGTTTTTCTTATACAATGATATTATATCGTTGAATTCAAATTTAATATCATCCATTATACAGTGACTCACTTGTAACCTACTGTACAGCAGAGCGACACCCACTTGCCCACCTTTTTTTATTATTTTTTATAATCATTATATATTTATTTGTTCATGAAAATATGTATTATGTTTATTTTTTTTTTAAAACATTTTTATCAGTTTGAGAAGATTTAATATATGAACTAATATAGTTTTAACTGTAGAATTAACATACATAATTTATTCCACAGTGTAGGAACTGACCATATGCCAATAGGCAATAATTTCTATAAACTATATAGATCTTTATAGGTCTATGGAATTAAAATAAAACGTACCAACCTGTTTTTTACCATGTAAGGATATAGGACTGATATATGTAACTATGTAAATTTTTCTATCGTGTAGGAACTAATATACATGCCTGTTTAGGGTAAATATTTTAAATAATATACAAATCTTATTTAAATCTATAATGACTAACAAAAAGTGCTGCAATTTAAAACAAAAATGAAGTAACTAGTTAACTGGATCGACGTTTATAATATATTACAGAATAACATTTGAATAATGAATTTAGCAGGTACCATACTGGATCATTGTTTAAAATAAATTGTAGCATAACGTTTGACTTTGATCAATTTTAGTTAACTGCTTGGAAACACTAAAATAACCAGTATATTTTATGGTTTCCGGTTCCGTATCATTGTGATAGTGTCCTCCTTGATTTCGATCACTGTACAGGTGAAAATGTTGAAATCTTAAATTCAATCCCTAAAAAATTGAGAAAATATTTAGCACAACAGGTAGGTATTGTCAAAATAATTTTTGAAATTACGGGATCATGAGAGACTATACATCCGAGACCCACCGACGGTGGAGATAATTCAATGAAATTTATCCAATTGCCCAACTCTTTTTCTGATTTTAATGATATTTTCGCTAAGCTCGGTTTAACGACGTGAACCTTCACTTTTCCATTTTCGATGAGTATTACTCCACCCAACGCTGTATTAATTCATGTAACAAACAATAAAACGATTTCATAATATTCAAATATCCGTAGGTACTAAGTAGTAAGTACCTAAAGTACATCTAGACATCTAGTATAATCTAATCTAGCAGTAAAAATATATATTTCCAGGAAATTCAGTTTTTATTACTATTTATAGTAGGATCAATAAAATTTATTCATATTTACACATAAAACATACCAATTATTTCATTGCCAAAATGCTTTACTAATGCTTCTTTAATGCATGTGCTATAACTTAGCGGTCCTTTTCTTACTTCGCACATAATTTTCAAAACCTAAAAAATACTCTATTGTATTAAAATTTAAAATTATTATGGTTACATTGCAATTTACATAATATATCATATTATTATGTCATCGTACTCGTATCAATAAAGATAAACTGTAATATTAATTTAAGTTGTATTTATACATTTATAATAAATTTACAATCCATAATTAATTATATACAGTAAGTAAAAGCGATGGCTGTAAACATATACATAGCAATATAGCATTAAATGACATAAGAAGCACACGATGAAGGAAATCACGGTTCCATCGCTGGGTAACATAATATATATAATATTAACCCTCCAGAGTAATTTTTTTATCTAATCATTTTAAAATATGAATTTCATAGGTCTTTGCACCAACGGCTCTTTAGGCAGCGTGTAGGGTTGTCAGGAAGAGTACGTGATGATAGGTGGGTTCTAAACTAAAGGGTCGGTGGTTTTAGTTTTGCGTGATACCTGTTATAATGTATTACAGTTTGGCTAGTTGGTCAACTGTTGCAATTTTTAGGTATTTATATGAGGTTTCGTATTTGTTATGTACCAAAGTGCCAAGGCTATTATTCGAAGAGTAATACTAGTAATAGATTAAAAGGCTTGAATGGTGCGGACTTGAAAAGGTTTGGCACCAGGGCCGGGCCGAGGGCTTGGCAAGGTGAGCGCCTGACAGGGGCGCAAATATCGAGTAGGAATGGGAGCGCAAAATTTTATATCATTAAATTTGAATTTGAAAAAAAATATTTCAATATATTAATATCTGTTATCAAATGCGAGTTGATTAATACTGTGTTACTAAATTTATATAGTTAAACCTCAAATTTATTTAATTTTCATTCACGACGATCGACGATAACTGGTACCTACCGAATTATATTGTCAAGTAATAAATTGTATTATTTTTATTTATAACAATGTATATATTTCTACACGTATACAAGCCGCAGGAAATATCAATGTGTTTCCTGTGGTCGATAATGATAAAAATAGAACGACTGTAATAATATGTGTATAATATGTGCATTGGTAGCAGGGCCGAATGCGGTGTTATTAGCTTATAGGTCTATAATAATTGTATTATTATATTACGATTATTCGGTTATTTTACAATTTTTCTCTACAAGATGTATACCCAAATTTGGAAGTAGCATTAAGAATTTTTTTAACAATGACCGTTACTACAGCTACTTGCGAGAAAAGTTTTGGCAAATTAAAACTTATAAAAATTATCTCCGTTCCATGGGTCAAGAACATCTATCGAATTTAGTTATACTTTACATTGAACAAGAAATTGCATCTAAGATGGACTACACTTCAATCATCGAAGAATTTGCTTCCAAAAGAGCTAGAAAAGTTAAATTTGTTTAACAAATATGTTGTACTAAATTCTATTTAATTTGAAGAATTTTTTTTTTTTTTTTTTTTATTTAATATAAGGCTTCAAATACAAAGTTTATTAGCCTACAATTTGGTTTTTTACATTAATAATTTATAAATACAGTTTAAAAGTTAATGGTTATGGTGTGGCGTCGTTGATCCATTGCTTTATATATTCGTGGTGAGGTCGGCCATCTTGATGAAGTTTGTAATGTTTTTTTCTTGTCCTGGTCCGAGTGCGTCTTTTAGTGAGGTGGTGTTGATGTTCGCTTTTGTTCTGGCGTTTTGGTAAATGGGACATTCTAAGAATATGTGATGAACGGTGAGTTCACTGTAGCATGTTTCGCACGTGGGTTTGGGCTCCTTACGCATAAGGTGGGAGTGTGTGATTCTAGTATGTCCAATGCGTACTCTGGTAACCATGGTCTCTTCATGTCGTGTAAGCTTAACAGGTGGGTCCGGCCATTTAATAGTTGATGGTTTTATCTGTCTAAATTTATTGTTTTGGTTGGTTTGATTTTCCCATTAATTTTGCCAGAGACTATAAAATTTCGATTTGAGGGCTCGGATTGCATCGTCGTATGTTACATACGGGTATATTTTGGTGTCCGGGGAGTTAGCCGCTTTCATCGCCAGTTCGTCGGCGAGTTCATTGCCGGGGATGCCGATGTGGGATGGAACCCACATGAGTTTGATGGATTTGACGGTTGAGTGGATAACGTTTTGAATGCTTTGGGCGAGGTTGCATTTTGTATGTACGTTTGCTATTGAGGTGACTGCACTCATAGAATCACTTATGATGAGAACTTTATCGTGGTTTGAGGAGAGTGCGGTTAATGTAGCTTCGAGTATGGCGAAAGTTTCAGCTGTGTATATGCTGGAGAAGGGGTCTAATTTATGGAGACTATTTTCATCCCTCTGGGTAATGGCAAAACCGGTTTCGTATGTTGTTTTGGAGGCGTCAGTATAGACGTGGTAGTAATTTTTGAATTCGGTGTTTATTATTTCGTAGAACGTATTGATGATCAGACTATGAGGTGTGTTATATTTGTTGAATTTGATGAGTTCTGTATTGGCTTCAATGTGGTTCGTGTTCCATGGAGGGATTGTTGAGAAAGTTTCTTTAGGTTTTATGTTGCTGATGTTGAAGGATATCTCTTCAAGGATGTCGTGGAGCTTTATATAAAGAGGTTTCAGGAAGTGTTCGTGGTAGGGGTTTGAGATTGTCCTTATTATGCCAGTTTGGGGAGTAGACATCTTTTTGGCTGCGAACTTTGTAATTAGGTACTTTTGTCTGATATACAATGGTAGGCAGTGGGCTTCGCACATCATACTGTCGACCGGACTTGATTTGAAAGCTCCGATGGACATCCTGATGCCGGCGTTTTGTACGATATTGAGTGTTTTTAGGGTATTTTGGTTGGTGAGGCTGTAAATGATTGATCCGTAGTCCAATGTCGATTGTATCAAAGAGTTGTATAGAATTAAGAGTGTTTTGCGATCAGCGCCCCATTTAAAGTGGCACACGGATTTGATTATATTTAGTTTTTTGGATGACGTTGCTTTCAGTTTTTTTATGTGTTCTTTCCAGTTGAGTTTGTGATCGAAAGTTAATCCTAGAAGGCGGAGACTTCTTGTGTTAGGGAGAGTGTTTCCTTGCATTTTTATATCGGGAATTCGGATTTTCTTCTGTCGATTGAATAAAATGGATTGGCATTTTGAGGGGGAAAAAATGAATCCTGTCTCTGTGGACCATCGGCTGATATTGTCGATTGATTTTTGTATGAGAGAGCTGGTAGTTTTGATGTTTGATCCAGAGAGATACAGGCTACAGTCATCGGCGTATAATATAGTTTTCACAGGAGGTTTTATGTATTTGTTAATATCGTTGATGGCTATTAAAAAAAGGGTTACACTTAATGAGGATCCTTGAGGCAATCCATTTTCTGTTCTGAATGTTGATGATAGGGTATGTCTGAATTTAACCTCGAAGGTTCTGTCTGCTAGGAAGTTATTTATAAAATTGAGTATTTTTCCTTTAAGATTCCATTTATGGAGTACAGAAAGGACCCTATGTACCCATACTGTGTCATAAGCTTTTGCGATGTCTAGAGATACCATTAATAAGTGGTTTTTTTTTTTCGAACGCCTTGCATATGTTGGTGTGGATGATTGTCAGAGGATCTAAGGTAGATCTGTTTTTGCGGAAGCCGAATTGATGTGGGAAGAGGAGATTTAGGGTTTCTAGATGCCATGTAAGTCTGGAGTTAATCATGCTTTCAAGTGTTTTACTCATTGTATTTAGAAGGGATATTGGCCTATAGTTGTTGATTTCGAAAGGGCATTTGCCGGGTTTAGGGATTGGGATTATATGTGATGTTCTCCATTGTTTTGGGAAGGTGCAATTAATCCAGATGATGTTGAATATTTTGAGTAGAATGTTTAGTGAGGATTGCGACAGGTTTTGGAGGAATGATAATGGTATTCCGTCTGGCCCGGTGCTTTTACTAGTTTTTTTACTCAGTGAGGTATATAGTTCAATGATTGTGAGAGGGGAGTTGATTGGGTTATCCGGTTCGTCTGCTTCGAAATTTATCGGGGAGTTAATTTCAACTGTTGTTTTTAGGGTAACGAAGTCTTTAATATAGTTTTCATTGCTGTTGTTTTGTTGGAAGAAGGTTCCAAAGGCGTCAGAGATTTCTTTTTTATCGGTAATGGTTTTGTTGTTGAAATTAATTGTCTTTGTTTGGATCCGGTTATTACCTTTCAAGCTGTTAATCTTGGACCACATGAGACTGGAGGTAGTAATATAGTTGATGCTGGATGTAAAACTTTTCCATGATTCGGTTTTGCTAATGTTAATTGTTTGTCGTGAGATTGCTCTGCGTTTTTTGAGTTCTATGTGATCTGATTGGAGTTTGGTTTTCTTGAAACGGTTGAGTGCTTTTTTGTAGTTTTTGATCGCTGTTTCACAATTTTCATTCCACCAGGGGACTTTTTTTTTTTGAAAAAATGGTTTGCTTTTACCTATTGTGTATTCGGCGGCTTCAGTGATGATACTTGAGAAAGTTTCGACTATATTGTCTATGTCTATTGATTGATTTGGTTGGAGAAGGGTTTCAAATTGTTTGGTTGTTAACAGGTTGTCGACTTTGTTCGCGAAGGACCATAAGCCGAAGCCCGAAGCCATTTGGGGGTTGATTTTTCTGTTGGTTGTGATTTAAGAAATCTTAATGCTATAGGCCAGTGATCATTACTATTGTAAGCCGTTTGGACAGACCAATCTATTGATCCTCCTAACGATGCAGATGCGATTGATAAGTCGATAGCAGAGAATCTGTTATGGGCTACATTATGTCTTGTGTAATTTCCATCGTTGAGGAGGACTATTGAGTCGTCTTCTAAAAGTTTTTCGATTGTTTTTCCTCGCCTATCTGTGTAGTTGGATCCCCATAAAGTGTTTCTGCTATTGAAATCGCCGAGTAAAATGTAGGGACGTGGTAGTTGTTTAATGAGATTTTCGAGGTCTGAGAGATTGAGGTCAGTGCTATCCGGGGCGTATATGTTGCATAAGCTGATTTTTTGATTGCTATTTGAAGTTATTTTTATAGCGATTG